TGTGGCACCTGTGTCCACCAAAAGGGTAATAAAAGTCCTTCAACTTGAATAGTCATTATTGTATTTTGTCTTGGGTTGTCAGGTATTTGTAGTAGTTGTTTTGGGTGAGTGTCTCCCGCCTTATCCTATTCATGATCTCTCCCATTTGATGATGGAAACCAAGGGCTGTTAGCAGAAAGAGGAGGCAGTTTGTGTGTGAGATGTTGTTTCCTCTCTCTTGGGCAATGCTTGGACCAATGTTATCGCTTATGACTATTGTGACACTGATTGGCAGCAGTTTTCCACTGATATGATGCCCCTTGATGGTCTTCTGGAGATGGCACACTCTGGCAGTGTTCTTGACGGTTGTAACCTCTGCTTTTCCCAGTCCATCGACTTAGGCTTGCAAATCAGGAAGGAGTCCATTCTCAAAATGTTGTTTTAATCTTCCTGTTTTATCAGTACCTTCTGGAAGGCCGGCACTTTCATCAACAGTTGTTTTTAGATATGCATGGTAAGCGCTCACCGTCTCACCCTCTCAGCTGTTTTGTGTTAGTAATTGCTCCCCAGTCAGGACATGTAGGGTATGCCATCCTCATTCTGGCAATCATCCTGTTCCAAGTGGTCTGCCATTCTGGAGTGTCAGTACCCTCTGCACCTGCATCAGCATTCATTCTTATAATGCTTGGATTGAAAGCATCATCACCAGCTCCACATACCTCAGTCCATTTCAAAGCCAGGATGCAGGTTGCCTCGCTGAAGATAGCTGCCCAGTCTTGGGCTGTGGGTCTGTACGTGGCATGGATGTTTTCCAACTTCTCGGATAAACCGCTCCACCGCCTTTTCTGGGTCTGGAAGCGCAAGCAGCCACATTTCAAAGTTCCATTTTCTGCTTTGTAATTTGTAGAGCGTTAAGGGCTGAATTGAAACACTCAAGAGATCCGCATGAGTCAAAATACCCCTTTGTCAATTTTGCCCACCATTGTATCTAATCAATTTGTTCATTACTCAAATTCCATATTTTTCAAGGGTCCCCTCAATTCAGGGACTGAATCTGGTTTATCACAGCAATTCCCCAGCAATTCTTTGAAGAAAAGGAAAACGATAGATAGTCACAATATATTATAAATATATTCTTTGCAATATGCAGAAAAAAAGAAAGATAGGTACACACAATCCTCACTTTTTTTAAGAGTAATGTGAAAGCAAGCAAGTTCTTCTTTGCAAGAAACAGGAAAAAAATAAAATCATTTTTTAGTGAGTGTGAAATCAAGAAAGTTCTTTGCAATATGCAGAAAACAGTAGCTACAGAGATATTACTACTTTACAGTGGCTCAATGCATTTCTGTTTGATTAAGAATATAGTTTCAACAAAAAGACTATATTAACATTTTTTTTTAACTTCAGATATTTAGTGCAGTGTTCGTACTCAATTATACATCTATATAACAACATCAATATGTAAAACTACAATATTCAATTAATACAGTGCCTTGTGAAAGTATTCATTTTTTCACATTTTGTTAAGTTGCTGCCTTATGGTAAACTACTTTAAATTTCTTTTTTTCCACATCAATCTACACAGAATTGTCAAAACTTCATAAAGTTATTAAAAATATAAAAACTGAAATAAGTACATTGTATAAGTATTCATTCCCTTAGCTCAGTACTTAGTTGAAGCACCTTTACATCCTCAAGTATTTTTGGTATGATGCAACAAGCTTTGCACATCAGCATTTGGCAATTATCTGCCATTCTTGTCCTCACCTATTCACCTCTTAAGCTCTGTCAGGTTGGATGGGGGCAGATGCACATTTTCAGGTTTCTCCAGAAATGTTTGATTGAGTTCAAGCCCAGGCTCTGTCTGGGCCACTCAAGGACATTCACAGAGTTGTCTATAAGTCACTCTTGCTGTGTGCTTAGGGTTATTGTCCTGTTGGAAGGTTCACCTTCTGCCCAGTCTGAGGTTCTGAGTGCTCTGGACTGGTTTTCATTAAGGCTATCTCAATATTTTGGTTCATTGAGCTTTTCCTCTACTTGAAGCTGCTACCAGCACACTTTACTTTTGGGATGCTACCCTGCAGTTGATGAGCAGTGCATGCTTTCCTTCAAACATGATGCTTGGAATTGTGGTTCATCAGACCAGAAAATCTTGTTTCTCACAATCTGAGGGTTCTCTAGGTACATTTTTGCAAATTCCAAGTGTGTATTCATGTGTTTTCAGCGAGGAGAGGGTTGAGTTTGGCCACACTGCCATAAAGACCAGATCGGTAAAGTGTTGCAGTGATGTTTGTCCTTCTGTAGGTTTCTCCTATCTCCACATATGATCATAGAGCTCAACTAGAGTGGCCATCAGGTTCTTGGTCACAAGTCTAACCAAAGCCCTTCTCCATCGATTGCTCAGTTTGGCCAGGAGGCTAGCTCTAGGAAGAGTCCTGGTTGTTTCAAACCTCTTCCACAAAGAGTAATGAAGACTACATGCTTCTGCGAACCTTCAGTGCAGCAGAATTTTTTTTCTGAACTCTTCCCCAGATGTATGCACTCTTCCCCTATATGATGCAATCCTGTTTTTGAGCTCTACAGGCAGTTATTTTGACCTCAGGGCTTGAGAGGTGTGTGCCTTTCCAAATCATATCCATTCAATTGAATTTGCCACAGGTTAACTTCACTCGAAGTATAGTAACATCTACAACCGATATGAATGCTCCTGAGCTAAATTTCAGCTGTCCCAGATAAGGGTATGAATACTTATGCAATGGAATCATTTACGTTTTTTTTTTTTTAATTTGCAAAGATGTTAAAACCCTGTTTTTTGTTTTGGTTATGGTGTATAAAGTGTAGATTGATGTGGGAAAAAACATAATTTAAAGCGTTTTAACGTAAGGCAGCAAAATAACAAAATGTGGAAAAAATGAAGGGGTATGAATACTTTCATAAGGCACAGTATGTTCTTAGGATACGGGATATTTCCTTACTCTGTTTATTTTCTCAATAAAAATGTATTTCATTTATATTTATGAGATCTCAGTTTTTATGTATATATATTATTTAAATAATAATAATAATAATAATACTAAAATACCTTACAAGTTCTTAGAGACCGTACAAGGACCTGTCCCTTTCTTCTAGTGCTTTAAATGAATCATAGAAGAGTAAGAAGTCAAAGGCTTCCTTTCCCCGCAGATGAAGGGAGGAGATCCTCAGGTCTCCTGGCTGGCTCGCCAAAACTGTTGTGGAAATTCCCAGTACAGTGGACTTCACCACAGGCAATTCAAACAACTATCAGTTGTTAATATAATAACTACAGTATCTCGAGCTAATTCCCTGAATTCCCCGAATACTTACAATCCAATCCAGTACTTCCCTGAAGTATGGTGACGGTGTCCTGTCAAGAAGCTACTATCACTATCTCAATCACACGAGCACACAGGTCTTTAGCATCTATACAATCTCACCGTCTTTCTCGGCTGTGCGCTGGTCTGACACAGGATCTTTAATACATAATCCGAGCAGTGGCGTGCACAGCGGGGTGGGTGGGTTCTTTAATCGCGGGCGATGAAAGTGCCCTTTTTACCGAGGGGGACCCCACCCCTGGGACCGCGCTTTCTGAAGGCCCCCGACTCACCCTCCCGGACGGCGATAATGCCCTCATAACGGCACTTGTCCCCTGCCCCTCCGGAGGTCTGTGCACGCCACTGACTCAGAGTATTACAGCCTGGCTCTATAGTCTTCCAATACTATCATTGTCTTTGCGGTGGTCTTTTGAGCGTACAATCTGGAATACATTGAGGTGTAAGTACTATCTGCCACAATTTACTCCAAGTATAAACAATATCTCACAGTGTAGGTGATCTCAGGTTTTGACATCCTTGGGTGATGGAGGACAAACACACACACACACACACACCACTGCTCCATACAGATCAAAATAGCATTATAAAACTCAGCTGTGTAACTAATAGTGTAATTTAAACATATTTGTATGAATGTCTACATAAGACAGACAATTTGGTTAAAATACTGACAGTGTAAAAAATAAATATTTATCTTTCTTTAATGAGACTTTGACATTTTAAATCTCAGTCCAATGATCCATCACATATTCATTTATACTTTCTCTTTACTAATGGATTCACTGCTAAACTGATCTGATCTGATCTGATCTGATCTGAGAGAGTGAAGAGTGTGTCATTGTTCTCTACAGGTTGAAAGATTGTGGCGTCACAGATGAAGGTTGTGCTGCTCTGGCTTCAGCTCTGAGATCAAACCCCTCACACCGGAGACACCTGGATCTGTCTTGGAATAAAATAGGAGATTTGGGAGTGAAGCTTCTCTGTGCTGGACTGAAGGATCCTCACTGTAAACTGGAGGAACTGCAGTAAGATCATCTCTCTGATAGTCTCATGTGTTTGTCCTTTGATGTACATTCTAAGACTAAAGCTTGTAAAATAAATGTTCAGTAAACACTAAATCGCAGCACAAATGACTCTGATGACTGAAGATGAAGTTAATTTCATTCATCTTCATCACATCACATGAGCTGCAACTCTTGTTTTTGACCCACCAAACATTTACTGGAGCTTCAGTTGGTTCTACTAGTTTGATTAATACTTCTTCACCTGCTCATCTCTGTGTAAGAGTTTTATTTTTTTCCCACTTTTTCTGAAATCCCATGAGCTCATTGTGTTCTCACAGATGTCATAAAGATTAAACCTGAATGTTCAGATATTAATATGTGATTTAAAGATTTCTGTTCAGTTTATAAGCTACTTCAGACAGATATGTCCTTATATCACTATGAAAAAATATCTCATGTTAAGCTCTGTGTGTCTGTTCAGTTCTGAAGCACATGACAGTTTCAAACAGCACCACTGAGCAACAACATGCATGAATCTCATTCTGTCAGCAGCAGTTTGTGGCAATGCTTGTTATTATATCTCCTCTCCTGCTCTGAAATCAGAGTCAATAACAAACTACAGACACTTGATCTACAATTCACATTGTGTCATTGTTCTCTACAGGTTGAGTGATTGTGGCGTCAAAGATAAAGGTTGTGCTGCTCTGGCTTCAGCTCTAAGATCAAACCCCTCACACCTGAGACACCTGGATCTGTCTTGGAATAAAATAGGAGATTTGGGTGTGAATCGTCTCTGTGCTGGACTGAAGGATCCTCACTGTAAACTGGAGATACTGTGGTAAGATCATCTCTGATAGTCTCATGTCTTTGTCCTTTAATGTAAATTCTAAGACTAAATCTTTTAAAATAAATGTTCAATAAACAAACTAAATCTCAGCACAGATGACTGAATATTAAGTTAATTTAATTTATCTCCATGACATAACATGAGCTGCTGTTCCTGTTTTCGACCCAACAAACTTTTACTGAAGCTTCAGTTGCTTCTGCTAGTTTGATTAATACTCCTTCACCTGCTCATCTCTGTGTAAGAGTTTATTTTCTTCTTATTTTCCACTTTTTCTGAAATCCCATGAGCTCATTGTGTTCACAAAGATGTAATAAAGATTTAACCTGAATGTTCAGATACTAATCTGTGATTTAGTGATTTCTGTTCAGTTTATAAGCTGCCAAACATGACACGATGTGTTTGATCACAAGAGTTAATAAATGAGATGTAATGGGGAACACGTGGCTCCTGTGAAGCAAATGTCCTCCTGCAGGTGTTTATTAGAGGAGCAAGTGACTGCTTCTCCAGACAGATCAGTCCTTATATCACTATGAAACAATATCTCACATTCAGTTCTGTGTGTCTGTTCAGTTCTGAAGCACATTACAGTTTCAAACAGTACCACTGAGCATCAACATGCATAAATCTCATTCTGTCAGCAGCAGTTTGTGGCGATGCTTGTCATTATACCTCCTCTCTCTCTGAGAGTCAATAACAAACTACAGACACTTGAACTAAAATTCACATTGTGTCATTGTTCTCTACAGGTTGAGGGATTGTGGCGTCACAGATGAAGGTTGTGTTGCTCTGGCTTCAGCTCTGAGATCAAATTCCTCACTCCTGAGACACCTGAATCTGACTGGGAATAAACTAGGAAAATCAGGAGTGAAGTTACTGAAAGAAAATCCACATTATAAACTGGAGACAGTATACTGTTGTGAGTATATTATTATTTAAATATTTTAAAATAGAATTTAAGTTAAATATAGCTGCAAGCAGCAATTACGGGGCCAAGCACTAAAGAAGCAAGCATCAGACCAACTGCAGCAATGAGTAATTAAAACCATTTTAAGATGATTTTAGTCAAAATCGCTGAAAAATCATAAATACAACCACTAGTAATTTGATTTAGTGGCTTATCACTTTTGACCAATAGTTGGCACTGTTATCAAATTGATGTGGCATGTTCTGTGTATGGTGACAATTAAAGCTTTGCAGAGAATCAGTCTCAGAGTCATTTTGGCATCATTCCTCAATTTTATAACGGCGCTATACAAAAACGGTTTTGTCACAACACGAAATCTATAACTTTTTGTCAGCATGGTCTGAAGATGATCTGAGTCGAATTTGGTGAAAATCGGACAAACGGTCTAGGAGGAGTTTGAAAAAGTATAAGTTTTCAATATAAATCAATATAAATCAAAATGGCGGACAGGAAGTTCATCTTACTATGGCATAATTGGCATAATTATGCGTGTTGTCGACATGACTCAAGGAATATTTTGAGACCAGTTTCATTATAATAGGCTAATGCAATCAAAAGTTATTAGCAGTTTTGGAAATGTCATAATTAATGGTTAATGAATGGTTTCTTACTCTTGACCATTAGGTGGCGCTGTTACAAAATTGATGTGGCGTGGTCAGTGTGAGGTGACAATGGCACATACGACGTTTTGTGTAAATATATCAAAGCATAATTGGTATTGATGTTCTCGGCATGATCCAAGGAATCTATCAAAACCAGTTTAATTAAAATAGGCTAATGTAAACAAAAGTTTTTAGCATTTTTAGAAATTTCATTATAACTTTTGACCACAAGGTGGCGCTGCCCCCAATATTTTTGTGTACCATCAGGGCATGGTTCCGAAGAAGCATACCAAGTTTCGTAATGATACGTCAATGCATTCATAGAATGTAGCATTTCACGACAAAATTCAAAATGGCCGACACCCAAAATGGCTGACATGGGAAAATTGGGTATCATTCTGCACTGAATCTAAAGAGACCAGTTTTGTGATTTTTGGCCAAATCATTCAGAAGTTATAAGCAAAAAATATGCATTTTTGATATCTCCTGACCACTAGGTGGCACAGTGCTGAAACACTGCAGGTAGTCTCAGGTCATGCTTGTTATAACACACACCAAGTTTGGTCTCAATACCCCAAACCGTTGCGGAGATACGATGCTTTTCGTCAAATCGGTTCACGCATTATTCGAGAACGGTTTGACTAATAAACTTGAATTCCTTAACTTTTTGCCAGCATCTGAAGATGATCTGAGCCAATTTTGGTGAGAATCAGACAAACAGTGTAGGACGAGTTTGAAAAAGTAGGTTTTTCTAACAATTAAAAATAGCGAAAAAAGTCATCCTTGTGATTTTTGAATGTTCATTCGACTCGGCATAAGCCAAGGATTCGGAAGAAAAAATAATTTTCCTTCTGTGGCTTACGGTTCAAAAGTTATTAGCATAAACATGAGTGAAACTTTGGACATGTGGTAGCGCTAGAGAGTTTGAGTTAGAGACTCCAAACTTGCTATGGTTAATGTTGAGACTGTCATCAGTGTGCCAAATTTCACAACTTTCCCACAAGCGGTTCTATGGGCTGCCATAGACTCAAGAGCAGAAGAAGAAGAAGAAAAATAATAATAATAATAAGAAGAAGAAAGCCAACGGATACAACAGGTGCCTACGCACCTTTGGTGCTTGACCCCTAATAATTCAGCTCCACTTTTGTCTCAGTACTTTAAACTGTGTTTAATTCTGTGATGATCTATGAATATATGAATATTTTCATCTCTTTCATTGTCTCTGTGTGTAAATGATAAAGAGAGAGTTGTTGATCATTCACTATTATTAATCTATGATCAGTTGTTCATTCATGTCTCTGGCTGTAATATAAATATACTGTGTTTTTTCTGAAATGGATCTGCTGATGTGATGTGACAGCAGTAATGTCTCATACTCATATGTGACTGTCTGTGTGTTTTATTGTAGGACTCTCAGTATTTAGACGTCAGTCCAGTTTCCTCAGGATCAGCTGCTGGTGAATAAGGAGCTGCTACAGAGACGTCACAGTCACACAATCACCAGAGACTGAAGACACAGAGACGCACAGCATCACACTGTCATGTGTGTCATCTTTCACTGTCTTGTTTTATAGGTAATGGCCCATGAGGTAATGGCAATTGAGTGCAGAATCATTTTGTATTCACTAGATATTGTCTACAATGTAGATCAGATGTCCAATCTGGCCCCCGGGATGATTTGAACAATAATGTCAAATAATAAATAACACATTATTTTGAAAATTAAATAAAGTTTACTTGTGTTACAAACTGCTTTAATAAACGCAGCTTTAATAAGGGTAATCCACAATCATAATCTAAATACACAGGCCAACAGGGAAATCCAGGAAACCAGGCACAAGATCAAAACCATAACACGGGTAACCAGAGAGAGCTATCAGAAATGCAGCGTAACACAAACAAGACTTCACAATGAGAGAGTGAAAACACAGGGCTTATATAGACAGAGTTAGCGAGGGAAATGGCATGTGTGAAAATTCGCTACAGTATTTTATTTTTAATATAAAGTGGAACAATTTTATTTATTTATTTATTTTTTGCTCATTTGCATTGATATTATGCCTTCAAGCAGTGCCAGAATCTCCAGCAGGACCTAATTGATGATCGCTGCATTGTGACTGATGCTTGTGTGTCAAGTTGTGATTTTAAACATGTCCAAAAGAAGAAATTTGACCTGGAAGGGTGGATATTTAAGGAGAAATGGAAAGAAAGGTATTTGTTATGTGAGGTCAGTGGTACAGATGCACTACAGCATCACGAGACATGAACAATGCTTTCTTTAACAACAACTAGCATATATAGTGAACATTAATGTTCAGTCATAATAATAAATCAAATATAATGTGGGAGGCGTGACAATGGAGTTGAGGATCCATATGCTGGCTTTAACAGCTATGAGCGTGGTCAAGACAGGCAGGGTAAATCACCAGCAAAACAGTAGCGTCCAAGGCACTGGCAAAAGAGTAATCTACAAAACAGGCAATGGTCAGGGCAGGCAGCAAACAATCATCAACAGTGCTGAAACACTGCAGGTAGTCTCAGGTCATGCTTGTTATAACACACACCAAGTTTGGTCTCAATACCCCAAACCGTTGCGGAGATACGATGCTTTTCGTCAAATCGGTTCACGCATTATTCGAGAACGGTTTGACTAATAAACTTGAATTCCTTAACTTTTTGCCAGCATCTGAAGATGATCTGAGCCAATTTTGGTGAGAATCAGACAAACAGTGTAGGACGAGTTTGAAAAAGTAGGTTTTTCTAACAATTAAAAATAGCGAAAAAAGTCATCCTTGTGATTTTTGAATGTTCATTCGACTCGGCATAAGCCAAGGATTCGGAAGAAAAAATAATTTTCCTTCTGTGGCTTACGGTTCAAAAGTTATTAGCATACAGGCACAAGATCAAAACCATAACACGGGTAACCAGAGAGAGCTATCAGAAATGCAGCGTAACACAAACAAGACTTCACAATGAGAGAGTGAAAACACAGGGCTTATATAGACAGAGTTAGCGAGGGAAATGGCATGTGTGAAAATTCGCTACAGTATTTTATTTTTAATATAAAGTGGAACAATTTTATTTATTTATTTATTTTTTGCTCATTTGCATTGATATTATGCCTTCAAGCAGTGCCAGAATCTCCAGCAGGACCTAATTGATGATCGCTGCATTGTGACTGATGCTTGTGTGTCAAGTTGTGATTTTAAACATGTCCAAAAGAAGAAATTTGACCTGGAAGGGTGGATATTTAAGGAGAAATGGAAAGAAAGGTATTTGTTATGTGAGGTCAGTGGTACAGATGCACTACAGCATCACGAGACATGAACAATGCTTTCTTTAACAACAACTAGCATATATAGTGAACATTAATGTTCAGTCATAATAATAAATCAAATATAATGTGGGAGGCGTGACAATGGAGTTGAGGATCCATATGCTGGCTTTAACAGCTATGAGCGTGGTCAAGACAGGCAGGGTAAATCACCAGCAAAACAGTAGCGTCCAAGGCACTGGCAAAAGAGTAATCTACAAAACAGGCAATGGTCAGGGCAGGCAGCAAACAATCATCAACAATGAAACAGTCCAGGGTCAGAAACACTAAGGCAAGAAAACCAGGAACTAGGAAGACACGGGGAAAAACACAGAAGCTACGAATGGCTAGGATCAAATAATACTCAGCGATGGGTGTGTGTGTGTGTGTGAGTGCAACATTTACAGTCCTCCTGATTGGGAACAGGTGGAGTCTGATAACAAGTTCCTAGGCAGAGGGTTTTGGGAAATGGAGTCCGGGATTGAGTGGCATAGGTATGGGATGGAGTGCCCTCTAGCGGAGCTCATGGGCACTCCAGTTGGAGATTGTAAGTCTTAGCAACCTATGTTTTTCCATTAATTTAACTCATCAAAATAATTTAACCAATTTCAACTTCATGTTTAAGTTAGCCTATACAAGATTCAATTTGATTTTTAAAGTCAAGTCAAGTCAAGTCACCTTTATTTATATAGCGCTTGTCTTATCCGAATTTAATCGGAGAAAATTATTGGTCATCCAATCTTTTACATTTTTAACACACTCTGTTAGCTTAGATAATTTAGAAGTTTCATCTGGTCTTGTTGAGATATATAGTTGAGTATCAATTAAATAAAGTCAATTTAATATAGGTAATATAAGTTGTAATGACACAAAATGACCTTGACTAATTTGATTATACATATAAATTTAAATCTGTGTTTAACCTCGGGTTAAAATCATGATTTATTCCTTAAAACAAGACACGGAGGAGAGTGGGGCAAGTTGTCACAGGATTTTTAGGGTAAGTTTATTTATTATAAATCAAATTTTAAAAAATATATTTTCTTATATACACTAACATGTTTTAACAATCAATGGTGTCAAATAAAAATGAACGTCTTTAACTGAAAGAAAATTATAAGTGAAAGTCATAAACTTTGATCGAGGCACAGGATTTTAAAGAGTTTTAAGAGAACAAATAAAAATAGAACTAGAATATCTTGTAATGCACACTAAAAAAATGGTGTAGAAACCATTTTCTCTGAAATTACTAGTAGATTTCACAATTAAAGAAATGCCAAGTTACACTTTGAATTATGCGTGACATTTTGAAGTAGAAAGACTAAAATCATGTGTTCTTGTAAAATGTACTCTTTGTTTTATTTACAACCTAGGGAAATCATTTTTTTTTTTTTACAATGCATATAAACTATTGCAAATAGTTAATAATATTTTAAAATATGCACACATTCACTCTTAATCATATGCGCAAAATTGCAGAAAACAGCTATGTTCACGTTTCTTGTCACATTCAATTACGAATTACTTGAATCATGTAACGTAAATTATATTCTATTCAAAATGGCAGCATTTTACAAGAAAGTGAAATTTGTGCAGATCAGGGGCGATTCTATGATTTTAATTTTAGGGGGGCTCAGCCCCCAATGAGGGTAATAATAAAAAATAATTATAAAAATATAAATAAAAAAAATGTTTGACTAATAGGGATGGTTTACTAAACTTATTGCAGTATTCCACTGTATTGCTTAGATAGGTATAACATTTGAGTACTGAATAAGCCTTCCTGATCTCACACACACTTTACTGTAGTTACAAACACAAAATTTTACTGCTGTAGCCCCCCTAAAAATGGCCTAGCAACGCCCATGGTGCAGATATATAGTCCGTTTCTGCACAAACACAAACCTTATCTAAAAAACTACAAAAAAACACTCTCAAGCATTTCCACCGTTGTAGCTCAGGGGAAAAAGCAGCTCATTTAAGCCGCTGTTTTGATAGTTGCTGGAATCAGATAAAGCCGTGATGGTGCTGCTCCAGGATCAGCAGCTGAACTTCAGCACACCCTCAGCACTGGACAAACATCTCAGCGTTATGTTTTGAAGCATGGCTGCTGGTTTAAGCTGGTCCTAAGCAACTAGATCCTGCTCAGGACCAGCATATGTCCAGCTTAAACCAGCTCATGACCAGCAAAGGACCAGCTTAAACCAGCTCAAATCAGCAGTCATGCTTCAAAACATACCTAATGGAGATCAGACTTAATCTGAAATCTCTGGTTTCTCAGATGTTTCTCCTGAAAAGGCATAAACTCACTTGTGTCTCCTGTAGCGTTTCAGAAGAAATCTCAACAATATGTATTGTTTGTTATTATTGTAGTCCATGATTTCTGCTTACTTTGGTGTTTACTGTCAGCAAATTCAAGTTAGTTCAAATATTTAGGCTATTCAGTGTGTTTGCAGGAAACAGCTGTTTCTTTACAGCCAAATGAACTTCCTGTCAGTCTGAACCACTCTGTTCCTGTTTTAGTGGCTGTAGTGTATTAGACATGCAAACCCTGACCTCTAGTGATCGAGAGGAGTTAGTGACACTTCTGATGCTTTGCAGCGCTTTCTTGAAGTCTAGTTCATTTTATTGAATCTCTACAGACGATGAACCGGTTCAATAAAAACGAGACGCCGATTTGTTCGATTCATCCAAAGTTTTCCCAGAAGTCCATGCGCAGCGTTTAACACGTTCACTGTTTAAAGGTAGGCCTAAATATGGAGTTAAATACACTGCTGTTGTCTAATTAATCCAGACAAAGTGTGTTTGGATGGTTTTAGAGGGTTTTTGGGCACTTGACAGCTGGTTAATCTTGGAGAGCATCGTGTTTGATGGTTTAAGATGTTTTCTTTAGCAGCGAGGGAATGCATATACAAACAAACAAACAAACAAATAAATAAATATTCAAAGACCGATGAGAGAGTTAGACTGCTTCACTTTATTTCTCTATGGCACTGTAAGAGACTCGGACTGTGATGCTTTAACACAGACCGGGGCTAGTTGTCACACAGGTAAGTTGTCACATGATCTCAGTAACTATAAGATTTCGAGTAAAATTACAGTTACACAACACTGTAAAAATGATTTTTCAAAGTTGTAAATAATACGAAGATTACTGGAATACGTTTTATAAGAAAACACTATTTCAGTCTTTTTAAATAAATAATCACGTTTAATTCAATGTGTTACTTGCAATTTATTTGTAATTATTTGTGAAAGTTACTAATTATAGATTGAAAAATGCTCTTTAGTAAATCCTACTTCAATTTTTTTGCTTGTTCTCTTTAGCAGTAGATTAAACTGCTTTGGTTTGTTAATTTGTTTAATACATTTCTTTTAGTGT